AACTTATTCAGGTTTCCCTTAACCATGGAAACCAACCGAGTTACTTTTTTTCCTTTATTCACATCTCTTCTAGGTTCCCTGGTACGAGTTATAGTGACACTATTGGTTTTCCCAGAACCGTGCACCTTCAAAGCATTCCTTGACAATGCTAGGCCCCACTTCTACTTTGACAAATCAGCTGTCAATTACTTAAGTCTAAGACGTCAACATCCTTCAATCGTATGCTAGATGGAAATCCGATAAAGGCTCATCAGCCCCTTCAACGTCTCTTTTCCTCATGTTGATAAGGACTTGAGCTGTGTTCACATCCTGTCAGCTGAGATGCAGTCATTTGCCACTGGGAAGCCCCAACAACAACGAAGCCCATCGCAACCACAATTCGCCCACGTTCTTACACTCAACAGACGTCAAGAATGCTGCTAATCCCAAGCGCAAAATGCCCTCGCCAAACCGAACAGCGCCAAGAAAATATTTGAAAGGGCTTAGGCACTATTGATAAATACCAAACCTAGGGCTTCACAACTCCTCTTTTTCCCCGCCGTTTTCTGACCAGTTTCTGGCCATTTTGCGAGATATCGCGGAATATGTAGTGTGCTCCAGTGCAACCACTAAATGCGCGTGAACGTTCCATGTTCAAATGTGTGATTCGATATAATCTCTTTTGCATGGTCGAAGAGGGGGGGAGGGAAGAGAAGGAGTCCCAACCGTCTGTGCCGTCTCAAACCGACATCTCTATCCTTCACGCCATGTGAAAGAACACGATTCGTCTTGAGGACGTGGCTTAACTAGTCTTCCTGGAGAAATAACATCCGATTCTCCTCTTAATTATATGCTCAATAGGATTCGAAACACCGATTATTCGATCTGTCAGAGTCCGCTTCAGACCTTGAGGTTTATGAGAACCACAAAATGCAATTTCAAGTTACAGGCGCTCTAGATGCTTTCTTATCAAAGTCGTATTACATCGACGCGCCAATTTAACCTAGTTGCCACCAATGCGTGAATCTCCTCAGACGTTCAGACTGGTGACTGCTGATCCGAGATGTTTGAAATGTTCTAATCTACGTGTGGGTCTAATTCCTTTAACCTTAACGAATACCCTCGCTTGAGTGAGCCGTCAACTGTGAGGTTTTTGATGTTTCATCAGATGTTGATTCTGAACTTCACTAAAAACTAGGGCAAAATTTCTATTGCTTGGAGAACCGCTCTTAATCTTCTCTGCATCACAAGTCATCATTAAATAGCGTCGAAAAGAATTGATATTTTGAGATAAATATGCCCAGGCAATGAAATGAAAGAGGGGTACCGTTTGAGGCTGTTCGCCTAAGGCCTTGATGCGGCATCTGCAGTCTCGCTAAATTCTTCTGCTAGTTCCTGTCACTTTACAGATCTCACCTTGAAAAAAGAATTGTGAATGTAAACGAAGCTCATGCTACTGCATAACTCTACAAGGTATTACAAATCCCTACAGGACGCATCGGCAGTGATCGATGGGAGCATAGAATGCCCCCACCGAGCCAAACTGTTCCTCATTTGCTGCTCAAGGTTTTTGAGCGAAAAACTTTATTCAGTTGGCTATCGCTTCTGCGTGACCTTCTCTAGAGATCTATACGTGACTCGATGTAGCAGGTGAGCACTATCCCGATAAGGACCATTTAATCCGAGTAGACCCAAATTGCATGCTCAGAACTCCAAAAAGGGTGGGGGGAACGGTTAGGACTCCACGAGGGGTCACGGCCGCAATGATTCGCCTCGCCGCGCGCGGCGATCGCGGACGAGTTTTTCTTCGACTGGCTGATTACGGTACGTCCCTTTAAACAAGTTTGGCAATTTGCCAAAACTGGGTGGGATAATCGATAGGACGCCGTGGCTTCCCCACCGCTGCTGTGCTCATCGTCTCAGTTGTATTCTACTGTTCTTTTCGTCGCTAGTTAAATGGTTAGTTTGTTTACAGCATTTTTTTACTTTTTTAGTACTTTTTTTTACTTTTTTTACTTTTTCTACGTTTTACTTTTTTTTCTACTACTTTTTACTACTGACTACTTTTTTTTCAGGTTTGTCGTCGCAGAAGGAAACAAATAAGGTGGGTTAAGAAGACCAAATTTCTTTGTTGTTTTGTTTCCTTCATTATGATAAATGAGTGGTTGGGTTGTTTTGCTGTGGTCTTCCGCTATTCGGTTTGCATGATTGCTAGTGCACGTTACTATATTTTTTTTCGTTTCTTCTCTTTCCATATTTCTTCCTTGTTTTCTTCACCTTTCTTTTCTTCAATCATTTCATTTCTTTCGTTGCCAGTAGGGGGTTGTTTAGTGGCAGAACTGATATGATTCTGGCCCTATTCAACTCTTTTCTGGCATAACAAGTTCTTCTGACATCTAAGTATCTTGAGTTATCGATTGACCGCCCTTAGTCTGCCCAGTGGCAGTTAAACTGGGTAGGCCAAAAAACGGGCGGTCGATTTGCGTATATAAGACCCACCACCCCGCTCCAGTCCTTCTTAAACAGTTTATCTGTCCCTCGTTCAATTCTACTTACTTTTCGTTTCTGCTTACTTTTATTCGTCTAAGTACGCTTTCGTTACTACATTTTTTTTTCAGGTTCGTCACAGAAGTGAACAAGTGAGGTGAGTTCAGTGACCTAACCTTTTTCATGCTATTTTCTTCATCATCACGATACTTGCACGTTCATATACTTTTTCATTTCCTTGCTTGCCATTTTATCCTTTATCTCTTATCTCCTATCTTCTTGTTTCCTTTCTTTTCTGTATTATTTGATTTTGTCGCTGCCGGTAGGGGGTTGTTTAGTGGCAGAACTGATAAGATTCTGACCCTATTCAACTTTTTTCTGGCATAACAAGTTCTTCTGATATCTAAGTCATCTCAAGTTATCTTGACCGTCCATCATCTCCCTTTACATCTCTACTTCCTTTTTTCATCTGTGTCCACTTCTATTATTAATTCTTTTTCATCGCTAGGTGTTTAGTCTGGTCAGAAGAAAACAAAAAAAGTGAGTTTAGTTTTTCTTTGTGCTTTTTTTTCTAACATTAGGACAATTAATAAGGTTGGGGTGTTTTGGGGGTTTTTTTGTAATCTTCTACTATTCGCTTTCATATCTTCTTCATATATCGTGAGGCTAGATTTTTCAGGTTCTCGGCCGTTCACTTGGTGAAGCAGTTGTCAAGCTGGAGTCGCCGATTTATCGCGAAGACAAAACACCTGCATCTACCAGAGATAAGTTATTGAATACTAGGATTTTCGCACCAATTTCTCAATCTGCTGTACCTTATTTTTTTGGTATTTAGAGACACGAATGAGGCATGTCCGAAGTTTTTGTGCACATGGATGCTGCGATACCTTGTGAATTTAGCTTTTCTCATTGTTCAATATTTTGTTTGCTGAATGTGATTGGATAAAGATTGATATTGTTAACGCATGAGGGAGAAAGCACTCCAGTCTCACCCTCAGTTTCGATTTCTATGATCTCATAATAATCTAGAAGGTAGACGGAGTGTTTTCTCCCTGAATCAGTTTGAAAAAAAGAAAAGGTTTATTCCGACAACATGAGTGAAATTCTGTATTCGTTTGCGATTGTGGCCCCGAGGGGGGCCGTTGGGTTAACGACGTGACGCATGTGGGGGACGGAAGCGGATCTAGAATGAGAAATTGTTGGAGGAATCTCGTTACAAAAAGCAAAGTGCAACATACCTTAGTTTACCTTAGTTGTAACGAACTGAGACATCCGTCCGACAGTAGGTGTTGATTGTCACCGTGCGAAGGAAGCCGCGACTTCTATCCATGATGGATTTAAATCGTCGCATCTCCCTCTCCACACGGCGCCTCCTCTTGATGTCCTTTTCACGGAGAGCTTTGCCATCCGTTGGCCTCTGCAAATATGCATCTTGAACATGTGCGGCTCGGACGAGATTAGGAAAGTAGCGGAAGTACTGAGATCTTGCCTTCTCCACGTTGAGAACCTTTCCCTTGCTCTCACTGGTGAAGCCGTGCAGGGAGAGGAGCAGCTTGGCCATTCGTGGGTAGCGCACACCAACCACGACTCCCAGTACCCTGAAGCAACATGAAATTGAGGTGGTATGGTGCTGCTTTTTTTGGCTTGCTTACCTGTTGAAGGACTCGGCGACGTTTGACGTCCTCAGTTCCGAGACGTTCCACTTGCACCACATGTCCTTGAATGGTCCTGCGTACCACGTGGTACGCAGGTACTCAAGGAAATCGCGGCAGCTGTTGTACGCGGGATGACCGGGCGGAACTGGAGGACGGAACAGGGCAGGAACTTTCTGGGTGGAGGTGTTTCGGGAGGAACACGAGTCCCTTCAGTGTGCACCACCATTTTCTTACCGCGCGGATTCTCCCACGGCCTTTCACGTACGGGCGCAACCCGAAATACTCCCTCCTTCCTGTTCCATGCCTGGGCCAGGTGGAATGCGCAGCCCTCCACAGAGGCCCTACGAAAGACGGCCTTCGCTGCTCTTATAGCGGCTCTCTCAAAGTCGAGCACAATGCGGAGGCCTTCTCTCGCTGGCGGTGTCATTGCCTCCCACACCATCCGGAGGATCTTCTCGTAGACCACATACGTCTTCCTGAAACAACAACTTTTCGATGGATCATTTTAGCTTGATCATGATTGAGTGAGAAGTAAGTACTTCGTCGTAATAGCGAAGACCAAGGGCATGTCGACGCCGTTCGTTGTTACTCCATGGATTACATAGAGCTGTCCCGTTTTGTTGGTGACGTTCGGCTGCAGGTTGTGCACACCGTCCATCACCAGAGCATGGAGACCAGCGCTGCATGCTCTCTGAAATCGAAGCTGAGCGGGGCGGGTGCTGTTATTTCGTGAGATTGCTATGTTACCTCAATCACGCGAGCAGCGAAGTAGATGTGAAGGTCTTCGGTAGAATACTGGAGGAATCGCGTGCCGTCAGGAAGGCAGGAGTAACGTTCCGGCACTTCCCTCATCGACACGCGATGATCGTGCAATTTTCTTCACTGCTCTGAAAAGGGGTACACATGAAAATGGTCGACAAAAGAGCGCATAGGGAGTAAGCTACCTAGTGAGAGCTTGTCGCCTAGATTCGTAACCCTTCCCATGGAAATAGTGCAGTATCTCTTCACGCAGTGCAGGATCTGCAACGAAATGTTAAGGATTGCTCCGAGGTGCGTACTTGCAGCTAAAGAAACGTATGTACCTTCGTCTGAGAAGAAGTCTATGTAGCTTCCCAGCTCGTGCCACAGCTGCCTCGGGGTTTTGTCGGCAAGGTGCGGCGAGGCGGCGACTTCGTGGCATCTCTGAATGTCAACTATGTCACAGCAGTAGCTTACACACGACAACACAAAACATACAGTGTATACACAGCGTTTGGCTGTATCCTGTGCGTACTTCCACGGCACACAGACATGCGGCAGAAGGCAGGGATCCTCAACGAAGCTCCGGTGACCGAGAACCTGAAACAGTAGTCATAAAACAGTAGTCATAAGGACAGCAGCAAGAAACAAAGTGTTCCGTACCGCGATTGAGGTCGTTGTCTGTTGTTTTCTACATCCGGTGCAGCGATATAAGTCGTGAAAAGGGCTGGACCTCTGGTGTTCGAACGCATAGCACAGAGGACTATCTGTGAAAT